CTTGCACGAACAACATCTAAATATGTCTTCTTGTGTTTCAGTGCAATCACGAGTGAAGCATTCATAGACTTGCACCTTTGTATTGAGCGAATATTGGCAAAGAAATGACCAGTTAGATATGCTTGTGCCCATAAGTGCCAAGTATTTCCTTTCTCAATCACCCATGGATGCTTTTCGACGTTGAATTCTGAAACAATTGAACGCCATTGAATATCAAATTTGTCGGTTGTCCACCAGGGAAGCCATGTATTTTAAGAATACTGATGTAAATTTTGGTTTACCAATGTTAGCTTGTGCATTGCGAGAAAGATGCCAAGAACATAATCTGTGCTTAGCATAAGGGATAACAGATTTGATAGTCCTCTGCATTGCCCTATCCCTATCGGTGACAACTGAAATAGGCGATTTATTCATCACGGCTTCTAAAAAATTATGTAGCACCCACTCGAAAGATTGGGACATCTCGTCAGCGATTATGACAGTAGCAAACACAATTGTGTTAGGGTGATGATGGCACCGACAATAGGCATAATTGGTCGACCATACAAATTATCTTTGTACGTTGTGTCGAACGCAATTACATCACCGAAGCATATATAATCTGATCTCGATGTAGAATCTGACCAAATAAGATTATGCAATGCCCCTGATTTGTCTCCGAACATGTCATAAAAAACTTAGGAACATCATGTTTCTTATAATCAAAGTAAGCAATAAGCGCATTCACATCCCCATCGACGATTTCCTTTGCTTTACCTCTTTGAAGTGCAATGTAGATGTCTTTATGTGTAAATCCAACATTATGATAGCCCCCTGCCTGCTGTGTTAAATAGTTCATTACTTGTGATGTGTCAACACTGACCTTTTTCAATGTTGTCGCCTCATCGATATCAACTTACTTACAGTTATATTAGAACGCATAAATTGTGTCATAGCAGGTGTGCACAATGCATGATTATGTTTCTGATAAGACTTACTTATAACCCAATGATCGTTTGTATTTGTTGATGTAACTACGAGTCTAGCCTTGCATCATGTTTTTGTGACTGACGTATGAGCACGTTAATGATCAACAATATTGGCTTTTGATACTCGAAACCCTTTTTTGGAACAACAAAATTCTTGTGTCTTCACATTCCCTTCCATGTCAAGCCGTGTTGTTCCCCGACATGCACTAAACCCATGTTCCCGTGTGAATCCCTTGTAAAAGTACCAAGCTTGATCACGTGAAGAGAAGAACTGACCAACCAATCTGTCAGATTCATCAACATTATGTACTTCATGGCATTCATCGGTTGGCTTAACATTGTCTGCATCAGTATGATCCATGACAAAAATTTTATTGTGCAAGTTTAGTGATCCCAACAGGAGTTGATGGAGATGTAAGTAAAGGTTCATTGAACAACATGTTTCAGTCGTGCTTTCAATAGGATGTGGTATTGGTAGTGGTAGTTGAAGGGTGGGTAAAACATTAAATTCTCATGACATATTTAAGTATGTACAATAACTACAAAATTCAATAACTTTAAAGTAATAGGTAAATTTACAACGTATGTGGTAAAAATAGACTTTTTTAATGATAAAATTCGTAAACAAAAAGATTTGTTTCCAACATTTTGTCTAGTATGGTTCTCAAACATAAAGTTTCCAAAACAGTGTCGATACATTTATTGTAAGTATCGATCCTCAAAACATCGAAGCCAATTATTATAAAGTAATATGTAAAATATACTGGTTTAATGAGAGAATAGGTAAACATATGTGTCGATATATTTTCTAAAAGTATCGACCCCAAAAATATCGAAACCAATAATTATAATGTAATAGGTAAATTAACAATGTAATCGGTATAAATATACCTGTTAATTAGAAAATATGTTAACATAATGTATCGACACTTGTGGAATTTATATCGATACTTATTGTCATGAATGAATGCCCAAACGAGGTGCACGCATAAAGTGTCGATACATTTATTAAAAGTATCGATCTCAAAAACATCAAAACAAATAATTATAATGTAATAGGTAAATTTACAATTTAACTGGTATAAATATACCAGTTTTATGAGAGAATAGGTCAACATAATGTATCGACACTTTTTAAATTTGTGTCGATACATTTTGTCCATAATGAATTCCAAACGAGGTACACACATAAAGTGTCGATACATTTATTAAAAGTTTCGATCCCAAAAACATCGAAATCGAGAATTACAATGTAATAGGTAAATTTACAATATACCCGGTATAAATATACCGATTTTATGAGAAGATTGGTCTACATAATGTATCGACATTTTTTAAGTTTGTGTCGATACTTTTTTCCAGAATGAATGCCCAACGAGGTGCACACATAAAGTGTCGATACATTTAAAATTGTATCGATTCCAAAAACATCGAAACCGATAATTATAATGTAATAGGTAAATTTATAACGTTACCGATATAAATAAACCAGTTCAGTTAGAAAATAAGTCATATAAACATTACCTATTACATTATATAAGCGCTACATAATGTGTTATTGTACTTGATAATATTTCCGGTTAAATGCCTATTTTATTATATAAACGCTATCTATTACATTATATAAGCGTTACATAATATATTATTATACTTAATAATATTTCGTTTAAATATATAACATACAATTTAAATTTTAACCAATAACGCTATTTTTTAATCATTTTTAATCATCGCACAACATAATTTATCTTTTTTTCAAAGACTTTTCCTCTCCAAAAAGGGCAAAACTCTAAAGATGCATTTACACCCCAAAATAAGTATTTATCTTTCCTCTCTCTTCAATCTCCCTTTTATTTATTTCATCTATTTCATTTTTTTTGCCTTTTTATCTCTCATTGCTTTCTCTTCTCTAACTAATTTTTGGATTCATGGTTCCCTAACTCATTTGTTATGCTATTCATATATTTTATTTGTTTGTTTGTTGCTTGATTTGAGCTTTGAAGGTGGAATTGTGGATTAGGTCTAGGGTTCTTATGAAGTATCCAATTTGAAATTCCAAAACAGCATTAAAGATCCACATTTTATGGGTTTTTTAAGCTTTATTTAATATATCTGATTATGGGTTTTGATAAATGGAAAGCTTGGATATTTGGAAAATGTGGGCAATTAGAACTTATTTTCAATCTGAAAGTATCCATTTTTTATTGGCATCATTAGATTTCCATTTTTCTGCTTTGGAATCTTAGATTTTTCCCCATTTCTGCTATATATTTATATACTGGATCTGCTAAATCTGAACAATGCCTCTTGAAATTTAGCTCATTGGAGGCAGATTTTTCTGTTTTGGAGTTAGAAATCTGACTTATTTTCTTTCCATTTGTTTTCTCGGAAACCAAACAGATCATTTATCGTTCTTTGAATTTTGATTGTTGTTTCTTTTTGATCTTATCAAACTTTGTATGTCATTGGATCTGACTTTTACGTTCCTTCCTGTAACTGCAACGCATTTCTTAGTGGAAGCCTTAGATTTCGTTTCTATGCTTCTTTTCTCGATTTTGTTTCCATTTCATGGTATTTGGTGGTATTTGAATGGCATTGATGGAATAATCTGAATCATGATAAAAGATTAATAATTCTGTTAGATGTGGTTTCAATGTTTCTTTTCTCGATTCTGTTTCATTTCATGGTATTGGAATGGCATTGATGGAGTACTCTGAATCATGATAAAAGATTAATAATTCTGTTGTGTTGTTGGCTTCATGGATGATGATGTGTTGAATATGCGTAATTGGGTTATTATGAACCCTCCTTCAAAGGGCATCTCGGTCTGCAGCTAATGTCGAGCATGGTTGAACGGTACACAAGCGTGATCCCAATCTCATGTACAGCCTTTCAGCCACGGGACTGTATTGTTTCTGAGGCACATGTACCCATGAATTATGTTCGGGATAGTTGGATTGGCCAAAGAGAGAAGTTTTTGAACATGTTACCGGTCACCGCCCCTAATTACGTCATTCTTCCGGAAACCTCGTTAGCTCATTCACTGTCAAATTTGCAGCCACCACCTGATTCTTCAACAAGAGTTGAGATGGTGGCGAGTAGAGTCGAAAAGGCACCAGCTAATAAGGACGGTGTTTAGCCTAAGAAAAGGCAGGATGGGGATTCACCTAAGATGCCGAAGGCCAAAAAGCCTAGGAAGCCAAAGGAAAATGTCGATTCTACAGTGAAGCCAGCAAAGAAGAGCATTGACATTCAAATAAATGGGTTCGACATGGATATTTCAGGCATTCCGATTCCATTTTGCTCGTGCACTGGAACCCCTCAGTAATGCTATCGATGGGGCTGTAGCGGTTGGCAATCCACATGCTGTACCACAATCGTATCCATGTATCATTTGCCAATGATCTCCAAAAGGCGTGGTGCGATAATAGCTGGACTGAAAATGAGTCGGGGTATTCAAGAATTTCCTCGAGAAACTCGCGCCCGAAAACTATAGTAATCCAATTGATTTGAGGAGTCATTGGGCGAGACACGGTACAAACAAGTTTGTCACAGTTGTATATATAGATATATTCCTGTGGCCATCTTGCTTCTTTTGAACTTTGTAGTTTTTCATTTATGCTCCTGCTTTAAGAACATCCGTTTATTCAGGTCACAGTTGTGGATGAGTTTTTATTTGTCGGATCTTGTTCGGACAATCCCCTTTCGTCCCAGACCGGCAGCCAAATGCTGCTTTCCGTCGTTATCTTTAAACTGACATGCATGAATTTTTTTATAATCATCGGTAAATCATTGATCTGGATTGAGTGTTGCAAAGGCTTGCTTAATATGAAAGGTGATATATCTAGCTCAGTTTGATTCAAGCAGATGAACAAATCAATACATTTAAAAGTTTAGACTATAAAAGCAATTGGAAAATATATGGCGAAATTGTGCAGAGTAAACTCTTCGAGTTCGATTTTTAAAAATTATAAACTCAGTTATGTGGTAGTTATATAACGTAATACAATATATATAGTCACAAACATTATAATTTCTCCAAATTAAGCTGCTAGAAACAAATGAAATCTGGGATTTCACGATGATTATAAGCTGGAACATGATCAATGAGTGCAGCTGATTCTTGGGCAGATGAAATCTTGTCATTATTTTCTTCGTTGATCTTTGTATTTTCATCAAAAACCACCCATTCCTCTGTTATTACCGTCTTAAAACGTTCCTTTACTTCTTTGTATTCAACAACGGCGGGATCTTCGTGGCCCTTGCACACTGTGATCATATGCGAAGCCCCATTGATGATTCTTTTGAGTTCTTCCACTTCTTCCTCTGGAATCTGACTAATCATCGGAATTTCGCTGGCATTTAAGACTCCGAACTCCTTGCAAAACTCCAAAAACGACGAAAGTTGTTCACCCTGTACCGTCGCCTTTTGAAGTATCTTCAGTGCCGATGCAGCTTCTGATTTCTCGGCCGAATATACACTTAATAAAACATTTGTAATTTCAGTGCAAATTCGGCTATAAACATCGTATATCTCGATGATGATGCAATCCATGGCTTCGAGAATCAAGCCAAGTTTCATATTTTGGGCCCGAGGCCTGACTTGAAGCAACATATCGAGCAAAGATTGCCATTTATCAAGTCTCGTAAGCTGCTGCGACATCAATGAACCTTGGTCGCCTTTTCGATAATCTTTTTCGGACCAAATTGTAGCTCTCTGATCTAAAAACGCATAGTATTCACGTATAAAAGCATTGAAACCCCACGTTCGGCTCGGCCCCGAATACTCGTCGCTAAAGCTCGACAGATCGAAGGGCAAACGCCCCATCTTTTGAACGGCCGGGACATTACAGTGAAACACTCCATGCATCAGCATCAAACCTTTAATAGCGACCACCCAACTCCGAGTCTTGTCCATCCTTGTCGACAATGCCCAAAGGAGAGGCCGTATACTAATCGGCGACGCCCGGATCCAAGAGAAGACGATTTGAGCACTCCTCTTGTCAATGCGACCTTCATCATGACTCGTGGCGTTGATGATGGCGGTCTCCAGAACGGCACTCCGGTAGGAACTTTTCCCCGGAAAATTAGCTAAGACAACGCTCTTCTTGTCTTTAATAACACCGGTGATCCTATTCCATAACCCCATCACCATTCTTTTTCTCCTTTTCTTCGCTAAATACTTTCCCAAAAGAGGGAAAGGTGAAAGAAACAGCCACGGATGGAGGTTTTCGAAGCTGTTTTCCTCTTTATTTTATATTACGAGCTGGTCCCAGCTTGTAAATGGTCAACAAATTAGTAAACCGAAAGCTAATCTTTGGAACGTGCGAACAAAATTTGTTAACCTGGCCGGCTAAATGTATTAGTGACAGATGATTTTGGTGAGTCCATCATCCGCCACTTGTCCCCTTGATTAATCTAGATCGATCTGGGTCGTACATTTGATTTTGGTGGGTTAATCTTCTAGCGAGGATTTTCTGCATACACAATTACTCAAACCTGAGACATTGCTTAAGCGATATCAAGTTACTTACCACTTGAACCTATCATGTTGGTATCCCCTATATATTTGGAGATCATGTCTAATATTATATTTTAATACCGGGTTAATTCTACCAAACGTCCTCAATCTATCACGTAAATTCTAAATTAATCTCTAAAATGTTAGTATTGATCAGGGCAGGTTATTCTGTTAGCTTAGCCTCAAAGCGAGTGCTAAATTCAGTCTCCAAAATATTAAGACACGTCACCTGGATTAAACTCATTTACGGGAAAATATTGTCAATAATGTATTGAAATAATTATTTATAAAATTATTAGCATGTATATATATACCTATTGGCTATTGTATGTACATCTTAAATTTGATGTGTTAAAAGAACCTACAATGTTTTTTTTAATTAAAAAGGTCTTTCAGCACATCAGATCAAAGTTGTTCATATAATATAATATACACATACATTTATAATTTTATCTAATTTAATTCATGTTATAAAAGATACTCGACATTATATTTGAGTTGTAATTTAACTTCGAAATTAATAAATAACAAGATAAAATAACTTGATTGATAATTAAGATAGTATTATTCTTTGAAAAGTAAATTAGATAATTTTCAATTTTAAAGATGAATTTAGAATTTGAAGCATTTTGAAGAAGTACGTCGTAATTATCCCCTAAAAATTATTTGCATGCATGTTTTTGGACTGATGCTCCATGTTTGTCACGTATGTTTCATGCTTATCGTTTTGTTGCGTTGTGGATGTGGTGTCTCTTTACCATGGTTTTCAGAATCGGATCGGTTAGCGAACGGCCATGTTATTGTTTACTGGTTTAACCGGTCGAATCGGTTCGACCTGTCGGAAGAACTGGACGACGTCATAATTATTTAAAAAATTAAATATAAATACAAAAAATATTTAATAAAAAATAAATTTTTATATCACAAGTCATATCCAAAGCAAGTCATAACATATATAAGTTAAAAACCATAAAATCAAGTGAAACCAAATGTTTCAAAATAACTACAACATAATATTTAAGGTAAAACATATTAAATAATAAATATAATTATATAACTATAATTAAAAAATAAATTTGGGGCTAAAAAATCATAACAAAATGATATTGTTTGGTTTAAATTTTTTTTAAAACAATCCCACATGGCTAAGAAACATAGAAGATCATCCCAAAAGTATAAAGAGTAAAAATATGAGAACAAAACAATATCACATGGTTAAGAAACATAGAAGAGCATCCCAACTAACTTCTATAAATAATAGAGGTAATTTGGCATTCAAAATCATGAGACTTTTGGTGTGAACTATTCTTTCACTTCAATCAAGCTCGAATTTTAAGCTTCAATCGAGCTTCTATTTTTTTTGAGTTCAAGCATTTTCGAGTTCAAGTTTCAATATTATAATTCGAGTTCGAGTTGAACTTGATAATTTTTAGCTCGTGAGTTTGAGTCGAGTTGAGCTTACTTTTAAAGTTTTCAAGTTCGAGTCGAACTCAGCAATACTCGAGTTCGACTTGGCTCGTTTAACAAACGACGTCATTTGGTTTAATTTTAAAAAAAATGCGGGTTTTCCCAGTTTTTTCTGGTTTTCAGTCGGTCTAGTTCGAACGGTTCAACGGTTCCGATCAGTTCACTAGTAGCGGTTCAACCGGTATAAATGAATCGGACTAGGCAACGATTCCCGGTTGAACTGACCGGTTAAGTTTTCAAAGCACTGCTCTTTACGCTCTTTTGGTTTGTTCTTTGTAACAAATGAGAAAAAGGTTTAATTGAAAATAAGGGTTAATTGCACCGTTGCTCATCCAATTATTTGTAGTTTTTTATTTTAGTCACCCTAATTGTAATATAATATTGGCATACACATCAAAGCTATAGGACAAACTTTTACATGGGGACGGCCTTTGTCTTCGCCTGGATGTGTAAGGTGGAAGCCGGAAGGTATACCGCTTTCTCCATAATTTTAGGTCTAATTGTTTTTAGGGTTAACTGCATAGTTGATTACTTTTGTTTATGTATTGTCTATTTTTTTAAATATTGATTTTAAAAAAATATAATATGCGGTCATTTAGATTTATTGTTTTATTAAGTTTTGGTCACTGAAACGTTAATTGACATTAGGGGTGTGCAAATCTGGGTACCCAAAACATCCGAGTCGGTGATTTCTTGGCCCGTGTCCCGACCCAGATTTTACGGGTACCCGTATGTCGAGTACCCGGATACCCAGATTTTTTTTCCAAAATTTTTTTGATAGATAAATAATTTATATTTGTACATTTACAGAAAATACATGAGATTCACAACATTTAGATAGATCCTCATAAAACAATACATAATCCAACAGAAAGTGAATAGATGAATCATATTATTGTTAATTCTTTGGTTCACTCACAGAACATATGAAATGGATACTCTAGGATAACCAATGCTTGGACCAACTAGCCTCGACTGATCGGTGATTAGTATTACCAACAACTTCCGTTTCCATTAACTGTTCTCATGCAGGGAGCAGGGCCGACTCTGGGCAGGGGCAAAAGGGGCACCCGCCCAGGGCCCATAATTTTAATGTATATTAATTTATCATATTTTAATAAATTAAAAATAGGGCCCATAAATATTAATATACTATTTTCTTAATTAATACAAGAGGGCCCATAAACTAATTTCTTATTGACTTATTGTTCTCATAGTTATCATAACGTTAAAAACTATATTAATACACTAAATTAAAATCAGAGCCCATAAATATTAATAAACTAAATTAAAAGCAGGGCCCCTAAACTTATTTCTTATTGACTTATTATTCTCATAGTCATTATAACGTTAAAAACTATATTAATATACTAAATTAAAAGCAGGGCCATAAATATTAATAAATTAAATTAAAAGTAGGGCCCATAAACTTATTTCTTATTGACTTATTGTTCTCATCCTAACGTGTATGTATGGGCTAATCATAATGTTTATAACGATTACTTTTATTTCCTATATAAATGATAGGAGAACATTGAAGTAAAATTAACTTATTTCTTATTGTTCTCAATTTTCAATTTCCCATATTTCTCACGATTCACAAACACAAAATCATAATTACTTATCATCGATTGTGGTCATTGAAGATATTTTTAAAATCCTAAGTAAGTTCGTGTTTCCAAATTCTTTTTCATTTTATTTTTATATATTTTTAAATTATAGATAAACTTATTCTCTTTTTTTGTTTCATAAATTTTGGATATGAAATGTCAAACGTAGATATGCATGTACTTCATATTCCTTCTAAGTTCAATCATTACGATGTTACGAATTTGGCGTATAAATACTTCGATCGAGGATCTTCCCATTTACAGGTGTTATTGTTCTTTTCTACATTAGTTGCATTATTATATAATTTTGCCTAAAAAACATTTGTCTGGTAGTGAAAAAAGAAAAAAAAAGAAAACAAATAGATGATTTAATAGAATCACAAAAGGGAGCTCTTGATAAATTCTTTAAAAGTGGAGTAGGAGAGCCTTCTAATGAAAATTTAAATGATATTGCTGGGAATTTAAATAATCTTAATAGTTCTTCAAATTGTACCAATCTAGGTGTTAGTGATACAAATTACCATGATATTCTAAATCATATAGATGGTGACATTTCTAATTTAAATGTCCATAATCATGCACAAAATGAGTCTAATTTTGACGATGTTGAGATTGATCAACACTTAGTCCCTGCTGTGGACATTTATGATCCTAGAAATTGGGGTAATCTTGATAATAAATCTATAGATATTTTAGTTGAAAAAGGGCCTATAAGAGAATTGATTTTGAAATTTCCCTTAGCCAATAATTCTAGGCATTTTTCATATGCTTTTTCTAGAAAGTTGAGTAATGGAGTGATTAACGATAGAAAATGGTTGGTCTATTCTAAACATGTGGACAAAGTTTATTATTTTTGTTGTAAATTGTTTACAAAGCAAAACAATAAGAGTTATTTAGCAAATGATGGATTAAATGATTGAAGCATCTTAGTGAGAGACTCGAACAACATGAAAATAGTATTGAGCATATGACTAACATGAATATTTGGAGTGAATTAAGAGTGAGATTAAAAACTAATCAAACACTTGATAAAGATTTACAACAAGGAATTTCAAAAGAGAAAGAACGTGGAAATTTTTTGAAAGGTGGAAAATTTTATGTGATAATGTTCCGGAAATTGTGAAATATTTATCTGATACTCGATGGGAAAGTGGAATTAAAAGTATCAAAGTTATTAAATGTCATGCTCCTAAAATAAGGTTAGCTTTGTTACAATTATATGAATATTGTGGTAATGATGCAAAGGCATAAAGTTGAGCTAGTGCCCTTAAAAGTTTTGAATTCTTACTTGGAATTGTTATCTGGTATGATATTTTATTTGCTATCAACACGGTAAGTAAGAAATTAAAATCTAAATCAATGTGCATTGATACTACCATAAAGGATTGGAAGGTCTAATGTCATATTTTGAAAACTATAGAAATAAGGGTTCGAAGCTAGTATAGATATTGCTAAAAGTCTTGCATTAGATATGAACATAGAGCCAATTTTTTCGACTAAGCGCCGTATTTTTAGAAAAAGACAATTTGATGAGAATGACCATGATGAAGAAATGCAATCAGAGATGAGTCTTTTAAAGTTAATTATTTTGTTGTTGTTGTTGATATGA